TGTGTATGTGTCTGAGTGTGTGTCTGTGAGTGTATGTGTGTGTGTGTCTGTGAATGTATGTGTATGTGTGTCTGTGAGTGTATGTGTGTGTGTCTGTAAGTGTGTGAGTGTGTGTGTGTGTCTGAGTGTGTGAGTGTGTCTGTGAGTGTGTGTCTAAGTGTGAGAGTGTGTCTGTGAGTGTGTGTCTAAGTGTGTGAGTGTGTCTGTGAGTGTATGGGTGTGTGTATGAGTATGTGTGTGCACGCATATATATGTGTGTGTCAATGTGTGTGCGCACGCGTATATATATATATATATATATATATATATACACACACGTGTATATTCTTTGTGGGGGGGGTGGGAATCTTGGGAGAGTTCCCACACTTTATTCCCCAGGACTTCTCTGGAGATCTCCGGATCTCCCCTGTCGGCTCAAGCAGAGTCGGCGCTATCTGAGTGCCGGCTCTGCTCTAAGCCTCCATGGGCTGGCAGGGAGATCAAAGATCTACCTCACCAGCCCACAGTAGCATGGAAGGAGGCAGGAGAGGACCCGGGGAGCTCTAGACAGCAGCTCCGCCAGGTTCCTCTCACGAGATCTGAGCATTGCCATGGCAACGCTCAGATCTCGCAAGAGTTAACTCTAGCCCCGCAGGTTAGTGTTCACTCTCCACTGGACCACCAGGGATGGCACATGGCAGCAAGGATCCCCCCTCCCTACATAAGGTAAGAAGGGAGGGGGGATATTTACTAATCTGCCCCCACCTCCACAATCCCTCCAAACATACAGCACACACACACACACATACAGCACCCACACACATACAGCACCCTCACACATACAGCACCCTCACACAAACAGCACCCACACACATACAGTACACATACAGCACCCTCACACACACAGCATGCTCACACACAGTACACTAACCGCACCCTCACAAACACACACAGCACCTTTACCAACACACAGCACCCTCACACACAGCACACTAACAGCACCCTCACACACACACAGCACCCTAACAAACACACACACAAACAACACCCTCACACACAGCACACAAACAACACCCACACAAACACCCTCACCCACATAGCACACTACCAGCACCCTCACACACACATCACACAGCACACTAACAGCACACACACACACACACACCAGTGTATGTGTGTGTGTATATATATATATACATATATATATATACACACACACACACACACATGCGGCGTGTGTTTGTGCTTTAGGGTGCACATCCTAATGCAATAGGCTGCGCACGCCTATGACTTTATCCTTTTAGATTGTAAGCTCACGGACAATCTAGCTATGCACTTTGTATAAAACAGCTTCAATGCTTAGATATTAGCTTAGGGGCAGGGCCCTCTCTACCTTTTGTATTTGTCTGTGTATATTGTACGTCCTCCACTAATTGTACAGCGCTGCGGAACCTGTTGGCGCTTTATTAATACCTGTAATAAATAAAAATAACCTGAAGACAGGTGAGCCACATCAATAGAAGATCTGGGGAATGCTCATTAATATTAGAGTAAGGGGTTATCTGTTGGTCTGATAGATCAACGAGCAGTGCCAGTGTGCTTAGTGCCTGGGTGACCATTGGACAAAGGGTTACCCTCGTCACCAGTGGAAAATTCAGGGTTGTAGAGGAGAGGGGTATGTAGTGATTTAAAGGATTAGCCCCGAGCTTTGGGTGAGCTTCTATTCCCTTATAGGAGTGGCCAGGAGGGGGTTGAGAAGGACCTTGTTACCAATAGCTAGCATTTGATGGAGTGTGTGAAGTAAAACTGGAAGTGAATATAAGAGGGTCAGATAGGATTCCAATTCAAAGTTGGAAAATGTATTTTGAGTCAACAGCTAATCCAAGGCATGAACAAAAAATACTAAAGATGTGTTGGCACTCTAATGCAAGATGCGGCAAGTATTGAGGATACCCTCTTTTGCAACCTCATAATAATATACAAAAAATAATATAAGTAATACTGCAATCCAATAAGGCTTTAAATGCTTAAACCAGCTGATGTCGGCGGGGGAGGAGCTTGGGCAGAGCCTGACCCAGCGCTGAGGGACATCGGCGCTGGATTAAGGTAAGTCGCTGAAGGGGTTTTAACAGAAAATACTAGAGGGGTTTTAACCCCTTCAGCGACATGGGATGGGGGGGGCGGGAGTGAGGGGGGCACTCCAGGATTCTCTAGTGCCAGGAAAATGGGTTTGTTTTCCTGGCACTGGAGAGTCCCTTTGACACAATACAGTTCCAATGATAAAATGAAGTACATGTCATATACCAAAACCTGCCTCTATGACTCCTAGCCAAGATAACAGAATTATAAGTTTATGTGACAATAATAATAATAATAATAATAATAATAATAATAATAATAATTGATAAACTGTTGTAACAGCCTGGTGGATCAACCTAATAAAAGTGGCTATAATATCACTATAGTCCAAAAGCTTCCTGGAAGTAGTAAATAGCTCAAAAAACAAACAAACAAAAAACAGAAAAAGTAGAAAAAAAGATTGACAGTGTCCAGCCAAAATACCATTGAGGGTGAAAAAATTCATGAATATACAAAGTCCAGTCTTATGCATAAGAAAACAAAAAAAGGAAAAAAAAAAGGGCAAAAAAATTATAACTGGTTGGATCTCACCATGGGTAGTGATATATCTTGGTAGAGAGATCTTTAATGCTGGTTCAAAAGTTATTTAAATTTGGTGTACATATGAACGTCCAGTCAGTCCTCTGATGTACTTATATAAAGGTATGAGGATGGTTACTGACAGTTTCATTCATGGAGCAGTATCAGGATGGTAGCTGAAAGTATCCTTTGCAGATATCATGGGCAATGAATACCGGCCTACTGCCATTGGAAAGGAGATATACCCTACCACCACTGGCGACCCCCTTTTTGAGGACATCCAAGGACCATCTACATCCATAGGCGGGGATTGTACAGTCCAGGTGCACATATCTGGAGCTGAGTATAGGCTCCAGAAAATTGTAAGTGCAATTCCTTTCCCCTAATTCACCATCACTTAAGATCTCAATATACTACACTATATCCGTGTCTTTTTCCTTCCCTCCTCCATAACGCTCTGAGCCTGGAAATTCCTTCACAGGCGCTGCTCCCTGATCCTACTACCTATAGTATTGGGTGTCCACACTTTTGGTTTCCCGTGCCACAAGAGGTATTGTCTTGGACCGCATGTAAAATATATAAAATAATTAAGTTATATAAAAATGCTTCCCATGTTTCTTATTTTGGTATTTCATTTGTTTAGTAAATAACTCTCCTATTTGTTATGCGTATGTGTGATTGCCATATACCAAATTAGGCAGCTATATACTAAACACATGTATATATGTATATAGACTATTAAGGGATATCTTCAAGAATTCATTGAGAAGAAAGTGGTTATCAGCAAAAATCTGCATGTTTTAATGAAAACTAACTTAATTGCATTCTATGAAAAAGTAAATAGAAGTATAGATCAGGGTGTTGCAGTGGATGTGATCTATTTGGATTTTGCCAAGGTGTTTGATACAGTTCCACACAATAGATTAGTGTTCAAACTCAAAGAAATTGGTCTGGAGGAAAATTCTTGTTCCTGGGTAGAACATTGGCTTAATAATAGAGTACAGAGAGTTGTCATTAATGGTAATTTTTTAAACTGGACGGAGGTGATAAGTGGGTCTTCCAGCAGGGCCACCATCAGGGGGTGACAACCATGATGGTTGTCACGGGCCCGGCAGCCCTGGGGGGCCCGGCCGTCTGGGCCCCATGTGGAGCAGTGAAACTGCCGCAGGTGCATCTGCACCGGGGCCCATCAGGTGGCCCAAGCATTTAGGGCCATCCGATGAGCCCTATATCTTCAGAGGCCGGTCAGCGCTGTAATAGCGCGACCGGGCCCCTTTAAAAAAAAAAATGCGGCTGCACCACACATGCTGCTGGGAGGAAGTGACGGCCAGTCAGACAGCATTGGAGAGGAGAGGAGAGGCATCCGCTCCCATCATCCCCAGCCACCCTCCTGCAACTTAAAGGTAAGGAATAGGAGGGTGGCTGAAAAATTAGGTGTATGTCTGCATGTAAACAAAATAAAGTACAACTAGGCAGAGTATACCAATGTAAAAACTCTGACTAGGAGTACCGAAGAAGGGCTAAGGGGGTAGCAAAACGGGCATAACCCTATATACAAAACAGCATAGAATAAACTATAGTAAGAGGAAAAATTCCCTAAAAGGAAAAATAAAATAAATCCTCCACTAGAACTACCCCCAATTGACAATATATGTGTGATATAATCAGATAGAAATACATATGTTGAAAATAACAATAACCTTTATTAAATATCCAAATCAAAAGAAAAAATAATTATGAATAAAAAATGCAGACTAATCTCGGCTGAAAGAAAGCTGCTGAGCACATCAAGACCATATTAAGTATAGTAAGTACAAAATAGGGTTGTTACAAAACACAGTGAGTCTAAACAATGTAACAACCTCTAACAGAAAGACTCAAATGGCAACAGCAGCTTATAGAGAAAGCCGAAATAGTACTCAGCTGTAACCCTAGGTATATCTAAATAGGAGGCACTGTATAATATACTTTCTAAATAGTAATACTAGTAAATGAACCCTTACTTACTAAAACAAAAAAACAAAAAAAAATAGATGACAGATCTATTGGTGATATCCAGAAATCGAAAGGATAGTAAGATGGGTAGTAAAGAAAACTGATATAGAAAGTGAACAGCAAGCAGGAGGTAAATCCTCCACTGTAATTCTCTAAAGTAAGAGTATATATGCCCCTATGGGTACAGCTAACGTACGAAAGAGTGTGTGTAAAATAGTGTAACACACATGTCCGCATCAAATATTGCCCAACGCACGTTTCGGCGGGTAAACCGCCTTTTTCAAGGGCATCCTGTACAAATCCCCCGCTCAAACTTACTCCTTAAAAGAGCGAGTGAACTCCTCCTCCTAAAGAATGAAGACCAATCCTCACCGTTCGTCCACAAAAAGGGGGCGTCTATTCATTCCTCCTCGCCAGGAGAAATCTACGGTGTCTTGAGAGGTCCATAATCCCCGCGCATGCGCGCGGACTTAGAAAAAGGAAACTAAAAAATCAACCGGCTCAAATTGCCTAAGGACGGCGATAGTCTTCCTTTTGAGTCTAGGATATACAAACAGACCGCCCTAGACACCAATAAAGTAATCCTCATGAGCCAAATAGCCAAAATAAAGAGTAAAAAGAGATTAATAAAACTCTTATCATTAGAACTGTCAAGATGGGGATATATTTATGTACAATTGTGTATAAATCACTATTATTAAATCCCTATATGACAGTGAGTTCAAATATATATGGCCATGGCTAAAGGGAGAGGAGGGAGGAAAAATTTATATATGGAAAGGAGGGAGGGGGGAAGAGAAGAAAAAAGATAAATAAAAAGGAAATAACAGAGGAAAACATAAATCATAAATTATGTAGTCAAAAAGATAATAGTCAACCCACACAATATATATGTGGTCATTATATAGTAGTTCCCGTCGGCAGGCCAAAATAAATACCAAAATGAATATCAGACTTAAATTAAATAAGGTTCAGAAGAAATTAACTCTCAGAGATGACTAAATGAATGGGGAAAAAGAGAAGCCTTCATTCAGACCCAGAGGTTGGAGGGTCTTTAGTTCATAGATCCATCTAGACTCACGTTGTCTCAAGATCTTATCAAAGTCTCCACGTCTAGGATTCCTCTTCACTAATTCTAGCCCACAAAATCGGAGATTATTCGAACTGCCATGATGACATTCTTTTAAGTGTCTAGAAATAGGTGTCTCAAGACGATTCCTAGGGGATCTCACATGTTCTAATATTCTTTCCTTAAAGGCTCTAAATGTTTTTCCCACATATTTCTGTCCACAGGAGCACGTCAAAAGATATACGAGTCCCTTAGTGTTACAATTAAAAAAGCTTTTAACCTTAAAAGCCCCTTGGCCCAAACTGTCACTTATTGTTTTAGAGCCCTTAGATATGTACTTACAGGCTACACACCTGCCACAGCAGTAGGTACCACAGGGGGGAGTTCCCAGCCAGGAAGGTCGTATCGGTGTCTTAGTGGAAAAATGACTCGGTACCAACAAGTCACGGATATTACGTCCACGTCTAGCTGTAATATTTACTTGTGGGCCCAAAACATCCTTTAAGTGTACATCATTTAAAAGAATGGGCCAAAATCTATCTGGGGATTTACGTACCTCAGACCAGCCTGTATCATATGTCGCAATCATGCGAATAGTGCCTAATTCCCTGCCCTCAGACTTAACTGGATGATCAGATAGTAATTGATCCCTTTCAGTTAAAAGTGCTCTTTTATATGCCTTCTTTAAACAGCGATTCGGATAGCCTTTCTCTTTGAAGTGTATCCTAAGCTGTTTCGCTTTCATTTTGAAGTCCTCAATGTCGCTACAATTTCTCCGGAGGCGAAGGTACTGGCCTACCGAAATGCCTTCCTTAAGGGGTCGCGGATGGTGACTCTCCCAATGTAAAAGGGAGTTAGAGGCCGTCTGTTTTCTAAACAGGGTAGATTGAAAAGTCCCATCTTCCTTGATGGTGATGGTCACATCTAAAAAATTAATAGAACGTCCTCCAAACTCAGATGTAAAATGGAGGTTCTCATCGTTCTGGTTAAGTAATCCAACTAACTCAGAAAATTGTTGGGAAGTACCCTGCCACACAATTAGGATATCATCAATATAGCGACCCCACCATAAAATGAAGGGTAAGTATTCTGACAAGACATCAGAAGTATGGATCGAGTGTTCCCACCATCCCAGGTGGAGGTTCGCATATGAAGGGGCACAAGGTGTCCCCATAGCGGTACCTCTCACCTGGTGGTAGATTTTACCATTAAATAAAAAATAATTGTGTGACAAGATGAACCTCAGAAGGCGTAGGGAAAAAGCTGTATGTGAGTCATCCCTATTACCTCGTTTATCAAGAAAGAATTCCACATGGCTAAGCCCTTTTTCATGAGGGATAGAGGAATAGAGCGATTCTACGTCTAAGCTACAAAGCTGGACTGTAGGTGAAAATTTAAGATTTGAGAGCCGATTAAGAGCTTGCTTCGTATCCCGGATATATGAGGGTAAAGTTTCGACAAAAGGTCTCAAAATTTTGTCTATATATAAGCTCCCGTTTTGCGTAAGATTCTCAACTCCGGAGACGATAGGACGTCCCGGGGGTTCCTCCAGATTCTTATGGACCTTCGGCAGGCAGTAGAAGGTTGCTATCCTCGGGTGACGGTTAAGAATAAATTCATACTCGTCCGCTGATAGCAACCCTCCACTGCGGCCTTCGTCCAGAATTTCTTTATATTTCAAAAGAAAGTCATTTGTGGGGTCACATTTAAGTACTCGGTATGTTTCGATGTCACCTAAGACATGTTCTGCCATTTTAAGATATTTCACCACATCCATTATTATGATATTGCCCCCCTTGTCAGCTGGCTTAATAATAATGTCTGAGTCGTTTTGTAATGTTTTTAAAGCCCGTTGTTCCTTTCTGAGAAGGTTACTAGTTGATTGGATCTGAAGAGATTTAAAATTAATCTTGTCAATTTCATTCTTAGCTGCTTCTAAGAACAGTTCGATATTTCTAAATCCTGCAAAGTTGGGTGTATAACGACTTTTTAGCTTTAAATCAGTACGATTCACACAGACGTTAGAATCACTCTCATCAAGAAGAGCCAGTAAAGTAGTGAGGCATTGATAATCCCTAGATGTAAGTCCAAGGTCCCTCGCTTTTCTCTCATTCTGAACAGAATGGAATTTGTGTAGGGCCAATTTTCTAACAAAAAGGTGGAGATCTTTAATCCAATTGAATCTATCAAAAGGAGGTGTCGGTACAAAAGAAAGACCTCTATTCAGAACAGTAATTTGATCAGGAGTTAGTTTACGGGAAGATAGATTTATGACTTGAGATTCACGTTCAAGTATCTTAGTGTTACCTAGTATCTCTTTCTCCTCCCCCCTCCCCTTGGATTTCGACTTTGGTATCTTGTTCGTGGACTTGGGAAGTCCTCCTGATAGCCTGGAGCTAAAAAATTAACTCCTTTTTTTAAAATTCCTTTGGGATTAGTACCTCCTGTGGGGGGGTCTGGATGTGATAGTGCTTCGAGTGTATTGTTAGGAGTTTGACTCCCTGAATCTGTGTCTGAAGAATCATAATCTGAGGTTAACACATTATCAGATGTACGTCGAATTCTTCGATTAAAGAATTTGTAGATATTCCCAGTCTCATAATCATGGGCATCCCTTAAAAATGTATCATGTTTTCTAGCTTTCACTGATTCTTGAAATCTATCAAGATTTTGCTTCAATCTGGATTCCAAGAAGGTGAAATTTGGGTCGTTCTGAAACTGTTTGATCCCATTGATTTCTTCATCTAAGTTTGTATTCACAGTCTGAAGTTGCTCATTTTCAAATTTGCAAATAATTTGCATGAAAGTTTTTGAGCAAGTACCAGCTGCCTCCTCCCACTCTTTCATTAAACTAGTGTTCTCAGAGTGAGAGGCGGGAACATTCCTAATTCTGAGACCTCTTGGAATCATCTCTTTTTTCATATAATTTTCTAAGGATGAGATTTCCCAACAAGTTCGAATCTGTTTTTTATATAGGTTATGGAGTTTATTAAATGATTTATTAATGTCTGGAGTGGCAGTGCTAAGATCTAATTTTGTGTTAGAAAACACATTCTCTGCATCTCTACACCAAACACTGCCATCCATTTTATTAGAAAGAAAGCCTGCCATACTGGGAAAGTAGTAGTAATACACTAAGTAGAGAGACCACTATAAATAGCCCTGGTATTAAAACAACAGAAAATATAAACAAAATAAAGTACAACTAGGCAGAGTATACCAATGTAAAAACTCTGACTAGGAGTACCGAAGAAGGGCTAAGGGGGTAGCAAAACGGGCATAACCCTATATACAAAACAGCATAGAATAAACTATAGTAAGAGGAAAAAAATTCCCTAAAAGGAAAAATAAATCCTCCACTAGAACTACCCCCAATTGACAATATATGTGTGATATAATCAGATAAAAATACATATGTAGAAAATAACAATAACCTTTATTAAATATCCAAATCAAAAGAAAAAATAATAATGAATAAAAAATGCAGACTAATCTCGGCTGAAAGAAAGCTGCTGAGCACATCAAGACCACATTAAGTATAGTAAGTACAAAATAGGGTTGTTACAAAACACAGTGAGTCTAAACAATGTAACAACCTCTAACAGAAAGACTCAAATGGCAACAGCAGCTTATAGAGAAAGCCGAAATAGTACTCAGCTGTAACCCTAGGTATATCTAAATAGGAGGCACTGTATAATATACTTTCTAAATAGTAATACTAGTAAATGAACCCTTACTTACTAAAACAAAAAAACAAAAAAAAATAGATGACAGATCTATTGGTGATATCCAGAAATCGAAAGGATAGTAAGATGGGTAGTAAAGAAAACTGATATAGAAAGTGAACAGCAAGCAGGAGGTAAATCCTCCACTGTAATTCTCTAAAGTAAGAGTATATATGCCCCTATGGGTACAGCTAACGTACGAAAGAGTGTGTGTAAAATAGTGTAACACACATGTCCGCATCAAATATTGCCCAACGCACGTTTCGGCGGGTAAACCGCCTTTTTCAAGGGCATCCTGTACAAATCCCCCGCTCAAACTTACTCCTTAAAAGAGCGAGTGAACTCCTCCTCCTAAAGAATGAAGACCAATCCTCACCGTTCGTCCACAAAAAGGGGGCGTCTATTCATTCCTCCTCGCCAGGAGAAATCTACGGTGTCTCGAGAGGTCCATAATCCCCGCGCATGCGCGCGGACTTAGAAAAAGGAAACTAAAAAATCAACCGGCTCAAATTGCCTAAGGACGGCGATAGTCTTCCTTTTGAGTCTAGGATATACAAACAAACCGCCCTAGACACAGATATTTAATAAAGGTTATTGTTATTTTCAACATATGTATTTCTATCTGATTATATCACACATATATTGTCAATTGGGGGTAGTTCTAGTGGAGGATTTATTTTTCCTTTTAGGGAATTTTTCCTCTTACTATAGTTTATTCTATGTCTGCATGTATATCAGAATGTATGTATGTGTCTGCATGTATGTATGTCTGTTTGTCAGTATGTGTGTATGTCAGTATGTATGTCTGTGTGTGTATGTCAGTATGTATGTATGTCTGTGTGTGTCAGTATGTATGTATATATCTATCAGTATATATGTGTGTATCTATGTATGTATGTCTGTCAGTATGTATGTGTGTATATATCTATGTATGTGTGTGTGTCTGTATGTATGCCTGTATTCATATATCTTTCAGTATGTATATGTGTGTATGTCAGTATGCATGTATGTATGTATGTCTGCGTGTGTATGTCAGTATGTGTGTATGTATATGTATATATCTATAAGTATGTATGTGTGTATCTATCTATGTGTGTATGTATGTCTGTTTGTGTATGTATGTCTGTCAATATGTATGTGTGTATATATATATGTATGTATGTATATATGTATGTGTGTGTATGCCTGTATGTATGTATATATCAGTATGTATGCGTGTATGTATGTCAGTATGCATGTATGTATGTCTGTTTGTCAGTATGTATGTGTGTGTGTCTGTATGCGAGTATGTATGTACGTCAGTGTGTGTGTGTGTGTATCTGTATTTCCTTATGCATGTGTGTGTCTGTATATGTGTGTGTCTGTTTCAGTATATGTGTGTCAGTATGCCTGTATGTGTGTATGTCTGTTTCAGTATTTGTGTATCTTTCTGTGTGTGTGTCTGTGTCCTTTTGTGTCTGTGTATGTGTATTCCTGTGGGCGGGATTTGGAGGCGGGCACCCAGGGGCCCAGACCTTGAGCTGTGTTAGAGGCCCCAGAATTTCTGATGGCGGCCCTGTCTCCCAGGGTTCTGTTCTGGGACCCCTTCTATTTAACATAGTTACATAGTTACATTCAGACAAGAGGTAGCATTGGAAATTTGGAAGTGATGGATAAAAGAAGTTCACAGAGAATTGCAGCTAATGGTAAAATGTAAAGGGAATGACGCATAGGCGTGCGCACGGGGTGTGCCGGGTGTGCCTGGGCACACCCTAATCCCCGCGGCACGCCTATGTATATTGAGACGGCAGGGGAGATCTCAGGATCTCCCCTGTCGGCTCATGCAGAGCCGGCGCTATCTGAGCGCCAGCTCTGCTCTCAGCCTCCCTCCCCACTGACCCACATGCAGGGAGGGAGGCAGGAGAGGACCGGCGGAGCTATTGCTGACAACTCTAGCCACACAGGGGCTAGAGTTCACTCTCCACTGGACCACCAGTGATGGAATCAGCAGCACGATCCCCCCTCCCTACAAAAGGTAAGAAGGGAGGGAGGATAGCAAGTAATGTACCCCAACCTCCACCCCCACAATCACCCACCCACATACAACACACACACATACAGCACACATACAGCACACACAGACATACAGCACCCACACACATACAGCACCCACAGACATACACAGCACTCACAGACATACACAGCACTCACAGACATACACAGCACCCACACACATACAGCACCCACAGACATACACAGCACCCACAGACATACAACACCCACACACATACAGTACCCAGACAGCACCCACACACATACAGCACCCAGACAGCACCCACACACATACAGCACCCACAGACATACACAGCACCATAGGCGTGCGCACGGGGTGTGCCGGGTGTGCCTGGGCACACCCTAATCCCCGTGGCACACCTATGTATATTGAGACCGGCAGGGGAGATCTCAGGATCTCCCCTGTCGGCTCATGCAGAGCCGGCGCTATCCGAGCGCCGGCTCTGCTCTCAGCCTCCCTCCCCACTGACCCACATGCAGGGAGGGAGGCAGGAGAGGACCCGGCGGAGCTATTGCCGGCAGCTCCGCCGGGTTCCTCTCGCGAGATATGAGCGTTGCCACGGCAACGCTCAAATCTCGCGAGAGTGAACTCTAGCCCCACAGGGGCTAGAGTTCACTCTCCACTGGACCACCAGGGATGGAATCAGCAGCACGATCCCCCCTCCCTACAAAAGGTAAGAAGGGAGGGGGGATAGCAAGTAATGTACCCCAACCTCCACCCCCACAATCACCCACCCACTGTCACGGTTCTCACCTGATAGACAGACGGCAAGACGTGGTCGCTCTTGGAGTTCCCAACAGGGGACTTGAACCGGGGATCTTCTCAGTCCTGGTCCTGCTTTCTACCTCTGAGCCACAGCAGCTATTTACAGCGAAGACTGATTCCAATCCTGTTCATCCTGACATGGCTACTACTCTGGGGGCTGCACCTTGACTTGGCTGTGTTTCACCTGACTCTGATCAGTCATCAGCAGGGTATATAAACCCAGCCTCGCCCTGTGCTCAGTGTCAAGTCCTTGATCCTGTTTGTTCCAGTGTTTCTGTTTCATCGCTTCGCATTATTGACCCCGGCTTCCTGACTCGTTTATTCTGACTTCTGGCATCCCTTGACTTCGGCTACTCCTCGTTGTTCCTGTCCTCTGGCATCCTTTGACCTCGGCTATCCCTCGACCATCCTGCTGGTTCAGTCCTTGCCTGTCCTGCGTATTGGTACTGCATCCTGCACAGCCCCCGTGCACAGACCCACAGGCCAGGTGAATTCTTACCTGACCACCTCGGCCTGTGGCTATCTGCAAGGGTGAGCATCATATCTGCGCTACAGACTCCCAACTCAGGTAAGACCCTGACATAAGACTTGACCATTATGGAGTCCGCAGAGATGTGCTCACCCTCGACCCAGCGTGTGTCCAGCCTGGCCCAGACTGTTTCGGAGCTGCAGCAAGAAATTTTATTCCTTAAAGGCGCAGTACATCCAGCCCCGGAACCAGCTTTTCCTGAACCGTTTGTCATCATGCCCGACCGATTTGATGGTAGCCGCACATCCTTTCAGTCTTTCAAGATGGATTGTGAGGTGTTGTTTTCCTTAAAGCCTCGAACATATGCCACAGAATTCATCAGGGTCAGAGCGGCTATCAACCTGTTGTCTGGACGCATCAAAGTTTGGGCTCACCAAATGTTGCAGACGAAGAGTCCTGTCCTGGTCAGCTGGGAATCCTTTAGTACTGCTATGGACTCACAATGTAAGACCACTGTGGCCAAGTCAGCTCCACGTACTAAAAAATCTCAGACTCTTCCTAACCAAGAAACCGAGTACCACCACTACGCCCCAGAAATGCCTCCTTATGTTCCAGCTCCCAGGAAAACTCCAGAGGTATCCGGTGTTCCACTTGACCCTGTGGAACCTATGCAATTAGGACTCGTCCACTGCAAAGTGACACCAAAGGAAAAAGACCGAAGGAGAAGCTATGGCCTATGTTATTACTGTGGAGAAAAAGGGCACTTCATCACGCTTTGTCCTGTTCGCCCTCCTAGATCTCCAGCTCTCCGACTTGGTACTAGTTTCCTTCGCCCTGTGTACACCGCATACCAGCCTAAAAAGCCAAATAGAAGCCGTTGTGCTTGCACATGCTTGGCTTCCGCGAGAAAACCTCCATCCCCTGCTCCAGAGCCTCCTGCATCTACTCCCGAAGTTGTTTCCTGTGATACCACCACTACTTCCTGCCCGCCCGAAGAGGTTTTACCTGTGGATTGTGCCGTTGCTTCTAATGGCACTATAGTCCGTAAAGAAAACCTTGATATGTTCGAAAAAGCATTGTTAGCTGCGAACACTGCTCCTGCCAAAGTTTTGGAAGTGCTTGCCACCTGTACCCGGAACCTAAAAGACCTGGACAATTCTCCAGCCGTACCAGAAGCTGGTACTGCGGACTCCCAAGCTGTAAAGGGAATCCTTGCTGGGGAGTTTGACTATGGGGACTCACTGGATTCAGATAGTGACCCTGGAGAGGTGTACTATGCTGACAATGAACCCATTCACGCCCGGAGGTCGTTTTTAAAGGTGGGGGTACTGTCACGGTTCTCACCTGATAGACAGACGGCAAGACGTGGTCGCTCTTGGAGTTCCCAACAGGGGACTTGAACCGGGGATCTTCTCAGTCCTGGTCCTGCTTTCTACCTCTGAGCCACAGCAGCTATTTACAGCGAAGACTGATTCCAATCCTGTTCATCCTGACATGGCTACTACTCTGGGGGCTGCACCTTGACTTGGCTGTGTTTCACCTGACTCTGATCAGTCATCAGCAGGGTATATAAACCCAGCCTCGCCCTGTGCTCAGTGTCAAGTCCTTGATCCTGTTTGTTCCAGTGTTCCTGTTTCATCGCTTCGCATTATTGACCCCGGCTTCCTGACTCGTTTATTCTGACTTCTGGCATCCCTTGACTTCGGCTACTCCTCGTTGTTCCTGTCCTCTGGCATCCTTTGACCTCGGCTATCCCTCGACCATCCTGCTGGTTCAGTCCTTGCCTGTCCTGCGTATTGGTACTGCATCCTGCACAGCCCCCGTGCACAGACCCACAGGCCAGGTGAATTCTTACCTGACCACCTCGGCCTGTGGCTATCTGCAAGGGTGAGCATCATATCTGCGCTACAGACTCCCAACTCAGGTAAGACCCTGACACCCACATACAGCACACACAGACATACAGCACCCACACACATACACAGCACCCACACACATACAGCACCCACAGACATACACAGCACCCACAGACATACACAGCACCCACAGACATACTCAGCACCCACAGACATACTCAGCACCCACAGACATACAACACCCACACACATACAGCACCCAGACAGCACCCACACACATACAGCACCCACAGACATACACAGCACCATAGGCGTGCGTGCCGGGTGTGCCTGGGCACACCCTAATCCCCGCGGCACACCTATGTATATTGAGACCGGCAGGGGAAATCTCAGGATCTCCCCTGTCGGCTCATGCAGAGCCGGCGCTATCCGAGCGCCGGCTCTGCTCTCAGCCTCCCTCCCCACTAACCCACATGCAGGGAGGGAGGCAGGAGAGGACCGGCGGAGCTATTGCCGGCAGCTCCGCCGGGTTCCTCTCGCGAGAGTTCACTCTCTACTGGACCACCAGGGATGGAATCAGCAGCACGATCCCCCCCTCCCTACAAAAGGTAAGAAGGGAGGGGGGATAGCAAGTAATGTATCCCAACCTCCACCCCCACAATCACCCACCCACATACAGCACCCACAGACATACAGCACCCACACACATACAGCACCCAGACAGCACCCACACACATACAGCACCCACACATATACAGCACCCACAGACATACAGCACCCACAGACATACAGCACCCACAGACATTCAGCACCCACAGACATACACAGCACCCACAGACATACACAGCACCCACAGACATACACAGCACCCACAGACATACACAGCACCCACAGACATTCAGCACCCACAGACATTCAGCACCTACAGACATTCAGCACCCACAGACATTCAGCACCCACAGACATTCAGCACCCACAGACATACAGCACCCACAGACATACAGCACCCATACACAGCACCCACAGACATACACAGCACCCACAGACATACAGAGCACCCACACACATACAGCACCCACACACACAGCACCCACACACACACATCACCCACACACATATACAGCACCCACAGACATACACAGCACCCACACACACATACAGCACCCACACACATACAGCACCCATACACAGCACCCACAGACACATACACAGCACCCACACACACATACAGCACCCACACACACATGCACCCACACACATAGAAAGCAATCTTACACACTGTGCACCCACAGACATACACAGCACCCACACACATTCAGCACCCACACACATACAGCACCCTATACACAGTAACCCACAGACATACACAGCACCCACACACATACAGCACCCACAGACATACACAGCACCCACACACATACAGCACCCACACACATACAGCACACATACAGCACCCACACATATACAGCACCCACACACATACACAGCACCCACAGACATACAGCACCCACAGACACACAGCACCCACAGACATACACAGCACCCACAGACATACACAGCACCCACACACATTCAGCACCCACACACATTCAGCACCCACAGACATACAGCAACCACAGACATACAACACCCACACACATACAGCACCCAGAGAGCACCCACACACATACAGCACCCACAGACATACACAGCACCTACACACATACAGCACCCACACACATACAGCACCCACAGATATACACAGCACCCACACACATACAGCACCCACACATATACAGCACCCACAGACATACAACACCCACATACATTCAGCACCCACAGACATACAGCACCCACAGACATACACAGCACCCACAGACATACACAGCACCCACAGACATACAGCACCCACAGACATACACAGCACCCACAAACATACACAGCACCCACAGACATACACAGCACCCACAGACATACAGCACCCACAGACATACACAGCACCCACACACATACAGCACCCACAGCACACACAGCACCACACAGCACACAGACACACACACACATACAGCACCCACAGACATACACAGAACCCACAGACATCCAGCACCCACAGACATACACAGCACCCACACACATACAGCACCCACACACAGCACCCACAGACATACACAGCACCCACACACATACAGCACCCACAGACATACAAAGCACCCACACACATACAGCACCCACAAACAACACAGCACCAACAGACACAGCACCCACAGACACACAAAGAACCAACACACACACAGCACCCACAGACATACACAGCACCAACACACATACAGCACCCACACACACACAGCACCCACAGACATAGCACCCATAGACATACAGCACCCACACACATGACAGCACCCACACACATACAGCACCCACAGACACAGCACCCACAGACATACACAGCACCCACAGACATACAGCACCCACAGACATACACAGCACCAACACACATACAGCACCCACACACATACAGCACCCATACACTCATACAGCACCCTCACAAACACACACAACACCCTCACACACAGCACACAAACAGCACCCTCACACACACACAGCACACTAACAGTACCCTCACAAACACAAACAGGACCCTAACAAATACACACACAGCACACTACCAGTACCCTCACACACAAACAGCACCCTCACACACAGTACATTAACAGCACCCTCACAAACGCACACACACACACACACAAACAGCACCCTCACACACAGTACATTAACAGCATCCTCACAAGCACGCACACACAAACACCCTCACCCACTTAGCACACTACCAGCACCGTCACACACACATCACACTAACAGCACCCTCACACAGAACACACACACACACAGCAGTGTGTGTATGTGTGTATATATGTGTATGTATATATATATATATATATATATATATACACATATATATATACATACATACATATATATATGCGGCGTGTGCTTGTGCTTTAGGGTGCACACCCTAATGCAATAGGCTGCGCACGCCTATGGAATGAAGAGGTAATTGAGTGAGAATCTCAAACAGCTGGAGGAGCAGGCTATGTATTTAGGGGGAGCCTGGGTAGGTGTGTAGTGCTGAGGAAAAATGCAGAGCTCCTGTATTGTTGATTCTGGAAGTGTAAGGTGAGGCCTGAGAGTTGTGGGAGTTCGTGCAGGATGTTAAATGCAGAGCTCTTGTATTGTTGGTTCTGGAAGTGTAAGGTGAGGACAAACACGATTTTCAAACCATAACTTGTCATTTCACCTCTGATGACTGGACTAACCCACTAGATGGCCTCCTCCATGCCATTGCCTTGCCGCTGTATTCTACCACTAGACTTTACTCACTAATACCCTTTTTCCAGACTGGTCTTGACTCAAAATTGGACTAAGAAACTGTCTGTCTCACTGTGGCGAAACCGACCTCACCACTGGGCATTGGAGAAGACTGATTGCCAGCCTCCTGCCATGTGACTATGGCCCCTGGGATGTGTTGCCCTTTAAAGACATGATTTGGCATAAGGGATTTGTGTTGTGCTGCTGCTGGCCCTTTAAGAATCATCTGGGGACATACTGTGGAGTTACTGGGTGGCCACCATTTCCTGTATCAGAGGCACAAGGTGAGAACAATGGATGAAGCACATGGTGAGAACAATGGATGGTGGCCATTTTAACTCACAGACACTGTTTGGACTTTTCAACACGGTGCCATCTCGCCAGTATTTGGTGCACAGAGACATCATGCAGTGGTTTTGGACTATACAGCAGGGGACACATTATACAGTGATTGTTTTTCATTTAGCCTGTATATGTTCTGCAGAATCTGCATTAAACTGTATCTTCCAAAGTACTGAACGGATCTGGGTGAATTTTGGAAATGTGGTTCACCCAGATCCCCCGGTTCCAAGGCTATACCAAAACCCGACACCGTTGCGCACCTCCTATTAACGAGGGTAATTAGGGTTGTGCTTCTCCTGCGTCCCTTTTTGATTTGCTTGTTAGGTAATGGAAGGGGACAGGAGAAGAGTAGATAGGAGGAAGGAAAGGAAACATTTTACATCCATACAGTGCCTATTTTTATGGGGTTATTGCATGTTTTGGGGTCCCTGTGATGTGTTTTATGAAACTGTATTTCTCTGTCTGTGATAATTAGATTACCCATTGTGTAAGGTAAATGTATCACAGGCAGAGGGGAGGATTTTGTATGGGAGTGTCTTTCTGTAATGTACGTGTGTTATTGGTTATTCTGTAAAACCCTGTGGGCAGTACTAAGTTTGTGGATTGGGAATAAAAGAGGCTGTATGTGCCAGTCCAGTCAGTTCCTCCTTAACCCTCAAAGTGAAGTGTCGTCTCATTATTGGGGGAGGATTTATTGTATGCTGTTCCAGTTTTACTGCTAGGAGTGTAAACCTATTCGCATGGTTTTTCCTATTCGGCTGTATACAACATTGATATGCTTGAGAGCATTCATATGCTCCTATGGTTCGGTGGTTTTGGTGTCTGCTGCAGTGCTTGGAGTCCTCAGGAAGTGCTAGGAGCATCCTTCAACGGAGGTACTCAGTTGGGGTGCCAGGCGATCCGTTACTCTCACTTTGCAGACCTGACTTCTTAAGACATACTGAGTGCCCATTCTTTTCAAACTAAACTACTTCCAATGGTCTCGTACAAAGACATGTTTATGAAAACTATGTCTTGGGAAGGAGGAACACAGCCACTTGGTTTAAGTGCCCACATCCATGTATCCATACATCAAAATATGGTATTGCAATACAAATTTAATAAATACAATATGTATGTTAAAAATAAAGAACTTCAATTAAAAGCATGAATGAACACCATGCAGAGATTGAACTCAACCTTTTACGTTACATGCAAATCATAAGTAGAGACTGAACACAAAATTGTAAGATTCTTGAATGTATTATAAATAGGGCACCCAGGCTCAGATGCCCTTCTAGAGATTTAATGGGGCACTTCAGAAATCATCCCTAAGAGCAGACTAGGCATGTCTGAGTTGCACTTAGACTAGACATTTTTCACAAAGTTCTACACATGTCCATATGAACTTATGTTTGCAATAACTGCTTAGACAGCAAAGCTGGCACCACACTTCTAGTGCCAGCTTTGCTGTGTCATCCCCCACAGCTGCATGGGCTGGTGGGAGACCTACTGTGCTGCTCACTTTGCAAGCTGCACATCTGTGTAGGAGAAGTTTTCAGCAGGTGCTTCCTCCCGATCAGAGACAGGAAGGGGGCATTCAGAGGGTTCTCCACCCAGATATTGGTGCAGTTCCCTCTGGCAGCCCACTGGACCAACAGGGAATGAAAATTAGAGTCCCCGTCACTGCACAAAAGGTAATCAGCAGTGGACCTCAACAAAAATGAATATAAATAAAATAATCTGCAATGTGTTGAGAGGCTGCACAGAATGTACAGCCTCCCCATACACACTCTACGTCACAAATCACCTGGAAGCACAGCTGACTTGGCCCATGAATTAATATTGGATAAGTAGTCCAAAAGATTTAATATTTTTGGAAAAACTTTTAAAATGAGTTGTTTCAATTTATTGAGATATCAAAAATATATCATATATAAAAAATTTACAAAATATAAAAATTATATCAGTTAATTTGAGTATTAATTGATACACTTTTCAGATTATTAAATATTATGAAACATATTACATTTTCTAAATAATATATATATTTAGATATGATTTTTTAAAATATATATTTTTTAAGTTTATCTAAAAATATGAAATCATTTGGAAAGCTTAACCAACAATATTAAATTGAGGCTTTGGGCCTGTGTGTGAGGGATGAGGCGAATCGGCAGAGCAGCTGCCACCTTGTTACTGAATTCTAGTAATAACAGGCTCACATGTCCTCTCTTTCATAATGCGTATAAACTGCAAATCTCCCAGTTACTGGTAATCAGCAACCCCCTGGCTGTCTATTTCAGTGTGAGACAACAGTGATAAGGAAAGACCTGGGTGTGTCTCTCTGCTGTTAACTCTGCTGTGCTGGAGAAACGTTCGCTTGACAGGAAATCCATGCTGGATTTTTACTTTGTCTTCATTATAGATATATACATAGCTCCAACAATTCATCTCCCACTTGTTCTTCATATTTTGGGGCACTCTCAATTTGGGACCCCTGCTATTTGGTCGGATTTTCTTTTTCTGTTGTATTCCATTTTTTGAGAAACGAAGTCTCCAAAAAAAGAATTGACCAAAATAGAATATTTCCACGAACAAAGGAACACTTCAACAGTTGTAAACTAAAAAGGAGATAATGAATATGATGTTACTGTGGATAATGAATATGATGTTACTGTGACAACTATTGTGGTTAAAGTTTTAAGATGTGCCATGCTCTCCAGAAAGTCACGACAAAGAGTTCTGGAGAAGTACAATCCTGATCTCAAGGAAGTATTTCAAAAATAATATAATTCCATTTATAATGGATTATCTGGAAGCGTAACTGTTAATACCACTCCCTTTACAGCATGTGGCATTTCTTCAGAGGCGTCCTAATCAATGATCGACCCTGATTTGATTTCAGGGTTCCACGGGCAGCTCTGCAGAGGCTTTTAATTAATTTCCAAATTCTCCAAGTGACTGCCAACTACACATCTTGGCAGGGCTGGCATCTGCCATAAAAGGCTTACCAGTCTCTAGCCTCTCTTATCTGTACTTCACAGGATTTAGAAACAGCATACTCCATAGTCTGTACCTTGAACACACACCGTCTTTTCAAAAATAATCACCAGATCCCTCCTATCTCATCTTTACAACCTTTAGCACCTACCACAAAAATCACTGAAGGAAAGTTAAGGGAGGTGGTGCTTTTTCTAATGAAACACATGAAATATACATGTTACAACTCTTTAGATACATTAATTTTCTTGTCTCCAAAAATAAGTTTCCCAATTTACTTAGACACCAAACACTTTCTCTACCTCATTATATTTACTTCCTACGGTGATTTTATTGGCACCCATCATATTTGAACACGAGTTGTGGGTTGAAATAAACAATAGAAAGACAAGCTATTGTTTACGCATGTAATACCTAACAAAGCAAATTTCTCCGCACTGCCCTCAAGGTGCTCTCAGACTTACAAAGGGCTACATTATTTTAGGTGGAGACTTCCATGTTGCTTTGCACACCTTCACAGACAACTATACGGGCAAATCGGATATACCTCAGCACACTCTTATTACCATTTGTAAACTGCTCCATCAATACACACCTACAAACTGTTGGAGGGCTCTACACGCTACTGAAAAATACTTTACCTTCTACTCTGAACCCAACTCCTGCTATTTTACCTGCTCCACATACGGGGTGCCAAAAAAGATTTGGCCACCTGGTCTGACCATGCACCCCTTAGTATGAGGCTGACCTTCATTCTCTAGACCGTGAGTTACCAACCGGCACCTACGTGGTTTGCATCTGTCAGACTAGCTGGTATCACAAGAAGTCCTTCCATCCCTCACTCTCTACTTAACAGTGAATAGTGTTATCCTGGGCTTTGTAATTTACAAAAGAGCAGCTCTCAAGAAATCTAGGGAGGCCACTATTTGTACTCTGACAGACAAATTAGAAACCCTTGAACACACTTACAAGCAAGCCTATGACAATTTAATGCTAGACACATTGACACAATTATGGAGCAAACTTTCCTAACTTGTTCCCATGTTTTGCTCTGAACAAAATCCTTTTCTATACAAAAGTGACAAATGTGTATGATCAACAAGAAAAACTCAAAAACATACATAGACAAAATGAGGGATGCCAGCCACCATCTTTGTTACTTACCTGACACAATTGAACCTGCAGGTCTACAATATTACTCTACTTTAAACTCCCTCTGCACAACTGCTTCTACTATGCGCCCATGATACATGTGAAACCCACATGCAGTGTTACATGGCTTACCTGCTGAAGGCTCCACTCAACCAAGAGGAACTGGCGTCTGCAGTCCACGGCTTCAAATCCGGGTGGTGCCCAGGCCCAACGGCCTACCTGTTGTCTATTTTTTTTTTTTTTAGACAATCTTGTTTTTATTGAATGAATTTAGTACAGTTTTTACATAAAATATAGCAAGGACATAGGATACATAGCTTGGCATAGAGAAGCGTACATAACTAGGGTAATATCGTAACCAGTTGGTGGCTAGTCATGCAGTGTATAGGGAGTCCATTGCTAACAAGGAGTACATAGATTCACTGCTAAGGTCTTCCGACCCTGAACAGTTGCCGTGCTGGGTTTGCCAGTGTACCCGTGTCTGTGTGTGCTTGTTTTTGTATCTGATCTTGGACCCTTCAGACTGAAGAGTGCCATCATGTATGAAGTATCCCGTGTGGGACAGTCTGTTGGGAATTGGCCCCCTAAGGTATTCGGAGGATATTTGGTACAAGCTTGGCAGAGCTTGTGGATGCTGATGCAACGCACTTCTAACTGTTATGGGTACTGCATGTGTGCTCATTACCCCGTGGGTTGTTAAGGGCATTCTCTATCTTTAGACTAGTTAACCTGTTTGTTAAGTCTGCTAAGTTATCATCCTATTTGGCTATGGTCGAAGATCATGCTGACTTGATGCTGACTTGCTCGGGATACAGCACCCGCCACCGTTGCGCACCTCCTATTAACGAGGGTAATTAGGGTTGTCCTTCTCCTGCGTCCCTTTTTGATTTGCTTGTTAGGTAATGGAAGGGGACAGGAGAAGAGTAGATAGGAGAAAGGAAAGGAGGGAAGATGGGGGGGGAAGGAGAGAGGGTGGTTCTTCCCCCTGGCCCCCCGCAGGCTTGAGACCGCCCGACCCCCCTCTGCCCTGCAGGCACAGGAGGCCCCCGCCCACCCCCGGCCCACGCAGCCCCTCACCCCACCCCAAACACGAGCGCGGGGCCATGTACATCCCTATTATCTTCTGGATAAGTAGAGAATCCAGGGGGTCCAACTCTGCTGGTATTTGTCCATTAGGGTCGCCGTGAGCCTCTCCATCTCGTGTAGTTCTTCCACTTTACCCATCCACTGCCGGAGGGTGGGTACTTGGGTTGATCGCCATCTGGCTGGAATCAGGAGTTTGGCTGCTTTGAGGAGGTGCTTGGTTAAGGATTTCTTATATTGTGAGAGAGGCATCGGGGTATGATGGAGTAACATCTGGAGTGGCTGTTATGGAAGGTCGCTGTCCATCACCTCCTGAATCGTTCTGTGGACTCCCCGCCTGTTGCCTATTTGAAACATTTTACATCCATACAGTACCCACACTTCATTTATGCTTTTAATGCTATCATGAAGGGACATCAAATTTCAATTCACACTTTGGCTGCGAAATTGCAATACTCCCAAAGGAGGGCAGAGACGTTGAGCAGTATGCAAGCCATCTCATTCGTAAAATGTGACCTACATTTTTTTGCAAAAATCCTAGTGACAAGACTGAAGCCTCTCCTCCCACACTTGGTGCCTCCAGACAAGGAAGGTTTTGT